CTAGTAGCTAATACAACGAAACAGCAACTAAGTCAGCTTCGCCTGCTAGCCGCAGACTCACCACAGGCCACACACCTATCCCTGCTCTGCTCCCGTACATAGTACGATCATAGCAGTTCAGCTACAAGGAAACAACAAAGGGTAAGCTAGTACAAAAAGAACAACGTATAGCAAGGTTTAAAAAAAACTCAGAAACAACTTCAACTATCAACACAACAACAGTCTACATCTCATCGGTTATACAACAAACCAGCCATTAGCAAATAATGCGTCGTCACGCACACCACCTCGAAGATCTCCTACAACAACTCAGCCGTTTTGGCCTATAACAACTCAGCCCTTAAGGCCTACAACAACTCAGCCCTTAAGGCCTACAACAACTCAGCCCTTATGGCCTACAACAACTCAAATCAACATACAACACAACACAACTTTTACAACTCAACATATCAACTTGCAACACACTCAATTTTACAACTCGACATATCAACTTACAACACAACTCAACATCAATCAACCAACATTATCTACTAGTCATCAAATTATAATCATCCACTTCAACTCAACTCAGCATAGAACAACATAATTCAATACATAATAATATCTCATCTCCGCGCCCGACGCCCTCATATAGTTGCGCCCAGCGTAGTACAACCAGAGAGCCCCAGGGAGCCAGCGCGCCCAGCGCAAGCATGCTTGCGCCCGACGGGACTCAGCCAGAGAGCCCAAGGCTCTCTCGCACCTGGCGCAATACCAATTGCGCCCAGCGCAGGCCAGGCAGAGACTCTAAGGAGTCTCACGCGCCCGGCGTACCTAACCCAGTGCCCAACGCGGGGAAGGCAGAGACCTCCCCTTGGTCTCGCGCCCAGGCGCAATTTAAATTGCGCCCAACGCCCACAAGGCAGAGACTCCCAAGGAGTCTCACGCCCAGCTCGACAAGGGCCACGCTCAGCGCAGCCTCAAGAATCCAAAAGGATGTTGCAACGGGTATCGCGCCCAGTGCGGTCCAAGGCACGCCCAGCGCGGGCCAACCAGAGACCCACATTCTCAAGCGCGCCCAACGCACTCATCATTGCGCCCGGCGAGCTTGGCCAAATGGGGTCCCCTGGTGGCCACGCGCCCGGCGCGAAGAACTGCGCTCAGCGCGAAGCTCAGCAGCAACCTCACCAGTTCGAAAAACTTAACTAAATCCTGCGAAAACAACCAGCAATCCAACATGCAAACCATCCAAAAGCTTCCTCTTTCATCAAACATCAACAAAAACGTCTCATTTTCAACATGCAACCACATTTCATCATAAATCTCAAAATTTTATCAAAACTCCGAAACCCCCAAAAACCCCATTTTCAACAATCTTAGCCCGAAATTCAACAATCATCAACCAACAAATGAGTTCTGAACTCAATCACAGCCAAACACAGCGAAAATAACCAGCTTCCCTTACCTCGGGTGAAGAATCCGAGCTTCCGGGAAGAGAAATGAAAACGAAGAGGAAGAGAGTTGGAGAAGAAGATGAAGGAAGAGGCTCCGCATGATACGGTTCCGGAAGAAAATCACCTATTCAGCACCTTGAATTCAAGCAATGAGAGTGAATCAGAAATGTGAGAAGAAGGAGTGAATGAGAAAGTTTTGAGAGTGAAAGAGAGTTGAGTGTTCGGGGAAGAAAAGGAAAAGGAAAAGAAAATCGGGTCTCACAACCTCCCCAACAACAAGAGTTTTCGTCCCCGAAAACCAACTTACTTGGGAAAAGAAACGGATACCGCTCCCTACACTGTTGCTCCACCTCCCAAGTAGCCTCACCAGTAGTTGCATCCCACAACACCTTCACCAGAGCAATGGACTTGCCCCTCAGCTTCTTCAGCTTGCTATCAACCACAACTACCGGCAACTTCTCAAAAGTCAGATTCTGCTTCACTTGCACATCATCCAGCTCCATCACATGACTCAGGTCATGAACATACTTCCTCAACTGGGAGACATGAAACACATCGTGTAGGTTTGAAAGAGACGGTGGCAAAGCCAACCGATAAGCAACCGGACCCACACGTTGTATTATCTGATGGGGACCCACAACCCTCGGTGTCAACTTCCTTGCTCTCAGTGCCCTACCCACACCCGTAGTCGGAGTCCCCTTCAGAAACACATGTTCCCCTTCAGCAAACTCCAAAGGCTTTCGCCCCTTGTCAGCATACGACTTCTGCCTACTCTGAGCAGTCTTCATCCTCTCTTGAACCATCTTCACCTTCTCAGTAGTCTATAGGATTAGCTCTGGTCCCACAACCACTGACTCACCATCCTGATACCAGCACAGAGGAGTCCTACATCTCCTGCCATACAAGGCTTTAAACGGCGCCATCCCAATACTAGCATGAAAACTGTTGTTGTAGGTGAACTCAACCAACGGTAGGACCTCCTCCCAGCTACCCAAGTGGTCCAACACGCAAGCCCTCAGCAAATCTTCCAAGGACTGGATTGTCCTCTCTAACTGACCATCCGTCTGTGGATGATAAGCAGAACTCAGTTTCAACTTCGTGCCTAAGGCTTGGTGTAGACTCTGCCAAAATCTGGAAGTGAACCTCGGATCTCTGTCTGAAATAATACTGGAAGGCACCCCGTGGAACCGTACTATTTCCCTTACATACAACTGCGTCAGCTTCTCCAAGGACCACTTGATGTTAACAGGCAAGAAATGTGCACACTTGGTCAACCGGTCAACAATCACCCAGATAGCATCACTATTCCTAGCTGACCTAGGCAACCCCACAATGAAATCCATGGTAATGCTATCCCACTTCCATTCTGGAATCTCAATCTGCTGCATCAACCCACTCGGCTTCTGATGCTCAACCTTCGCCTTCTGACAGGTCAGACAGGCTGCCACATACTCAGCTACCTCCCTCTTCATACCAGACCACCAGAAAGTCTTCTTGAGGTCCTGGTACATCTTCTTCATACCTGGATGTATGCTAAGTCTACTCTTGTGGCCTTCCTCCAACACAACTCTCTTCAGCTCAACATCTTGAGGTAGGCAAATTCTGCCCTTGAACATCAAGATTCCATCTCCCCCCAACTCAAAGCCAACCGCCTTCTCGGTACCCAGCAAACCCAGAAGCTTCACCAACTCTACATCTTGCAACTGCTTGAGTCCAACCTGCCTCAAGAACTCATTAGTTATGGTAATTGCCCCACAACTAATGTGATCCTGAGCTAACTCCACACAGAGATTCAAATCCCTGAACTCCTCCACCAACTCCAATTCCTTCACCATCATGCCAGACATGTGGATGAATTTCCTACTCAACGCATCCGCCACAACATTGGCCTTGCCAGGATGATACATCAACTGGAAGTCATAGTCCTTCAGAAACTCCATCCACCGTCTCTGCCTCATGTTCAACTCCTTCTGATCAAACAGATACTTCAAACTCTTGTGATCACTGAAGACGCTGAACTGAGCACCATACAGATAATGTCGCCATATCTTCAAGGCAAAAACAACAGCTGCCAACTCCAAGTCATGAGTGGGATAATTCCTCTCATGGTTCTTCAGTTGCCTTGAAGCATATGCCACCACTTTCCTGTGTTGCATCAGCACACACCCAAGACCCTGGTGAGAGGCATCACAGTACACATCAAAGGGTTTACCAGAATCCGGCAACACCAACACAGGAGAAGTAGTCAACCTCCTCTTCAACTCCTCAAAACTCCGCTCACAGGCATCTGTCCAAATGAACGGCTGCTCCTTCCTCGTCAACTGGGTTAGAGGCGCTACTATCTTGGAGAATCCCTCAATGAACCGTCGATAGTAACCCGCCAGACCCACGAAGCTCCGAATGTCAGTGACAGTCCTCGGACGCTCCCACTGCAACACCGACTCCACCTTAGCCGGATCAACATCAATCCCTTCAACTAAAATCACGTGGCCCAAGAACCTCACTTCATTCAACCAAAACTCACATTTTGAAAGCTTAGCATACAACTGCTTCGCCTTCAAAATCTCCAGCACCAACCTTAAGTGCTCTCCATGCTTTTCCCGGGTCCTTGAATAAATCAAGATATCGTCAATGAATACCACCACAAATTCATCCAAGAACGGCCGGAAAATCCTGTTCATGTAATCCATGAACACTGCAAAGGCGTTGGTCACACCAAACGGCATCACGACATACTCATAGTGACCATACCTAGTCCTGAAAGCAGTCTTTGGTATGTCACCCTCCTTCACCCTGATCTGGTGATAGCCCGAGCTCAAGTCAATCTTCGAGAAAACGGATGGTCCACTAAGCTGATGCGTTAAGTCAGCTATCCGTGGCAATGGATATTTGTTCTTAATGGTCAACTTATTCAACTGCCGGTAATCCACACAAAGTCGACTACCTCCATCCTTCTCTTCACCAACAACACAGGAGCACCCCACGGCGAGACGCTCGGACGCACCAACTGCTTCTCCAATAGGTCTTCTAACTGACCCTTCAGCTCAACCAACTCAGCAGGAGCCATCCTATAGGGAGCCACCGACACTGGCCCCGCTCCTGGAACCAAGTCAATGCTAAACTCCATCTCCCTAGTAGGAGGCAACCTAGGCACTTCATCTGGGAACACCTAAACAAAATCCCGTACCACATCAATCTCCGCAATAACTCTTTTTATTTATAGGAAATAGGAGCAATACGGGCGCTGGGGTCAATACGGCCCGTATTGAGAATTTGTTCTTCAATACGGCCGTATTGAACTCAATACGGCCGTATTGAAGTTCACAAATCTTCAATACGGCCGTATTGAGTCCAGTACGGCCGTATTGAAGTTCAAAACTTCAATACAGGCCGTACTGGTCCCCAAGCAGCCCGTATTGGTCCCAATTCCTCCTATTTTCTATTTTTAGCTATCCTAAGACCTCTTAGACCTATAGAGAACCCTCCTTGGGCCTTCTGGAAGTCCTTCTGGCTGATCCTTCTTCAGTCTTCGAGAGTCTTCAAGCTTTATTTCCGACCCGGACAATTTTAGGGGTCTACACATGGCAACACAAGTATAAGAGATAAAGGAGTGAGAAGCTCCACAATCAAACAAAAACACCACATCCTTACCAGCAGCTCTGCCCTTCCCTTTCACAAGATCAGAAGAAGTCGAAGCCTCAGCACCTGTCAAAGCAAAGACCCTACCAGCAGCGGTGGGTCTGTCACCCCTCTGAGCATCTCCTCTCTGAGCATCACTCCTCCGTGTATTCCTCTCCGGTCTGTTTCCGGTGGGGCAGTTGAAAGACACATGGCTCATCTGCTGGCACCTGAAACACCAGTTCTCTGTGTGGGGGCAATCCCTGATCATATGGGACCCACCACACCTGTAACATCTAAGGGCAGCACCTCCACCCTGTCCTCCACCACCAGCAGCACCAGAAGGTTGCCTAATGACAATACCCCCTTGCTGAGGTTGGGGCCTATCATACGGCTTCCTCTGGTTCCCTCCTTTCTTGGACCCAGATGGCTCATCAGCAGTCTTCACCCCGCGGTTACCACCTTCCAACCGCTCAACCACCTTCGCCTTCTCCACTAAGGCTGGAAATTCAGTGATGGCCATAGGCACCACCACCCTCTTTAGATCATATTTCAGACCCTCAGCAAACTTCCGACACTTCCAAGCCTCAGCTATGCCTTGCGAATAAAAACGAGCTAGGTGCTCGAATTTCATCGCATATTTAGAAACAATCATCCCTCCTTGGTGTAAGCGCATGAACTCAGCTTCCTTGGCATGTCTCACACACTCAGGGAAATACTTCTCCAAGAACATCCTTCTGAAGCACTCCCAGTCCACAACCACCCCTCTGGCAGTTAGCATATGATGGGTACCCCTCCACCAATGCTCGGCTTCTCCAACAAGCATGTACACCGCGTATGCTAGCCTCCTCTCTTGAGAACATCCCAGTACAGTGAAGATCTTCTCAAGCTCACAAATCCAGTGGTCATCCACCTCTAGATTTGCCTCTCCCTTGAACTGAGGAGGATGGCATTTCCGGAACTCAGCCAAGTCCCGGCTCTCCTGTGACCCAGTGGGCCTTGCTGCACTAGCTGCAGCTCTCTCCGCCTCCATCCTAGAAAAATAGGCATTTTGCAGTTGCATAGCCATGGCCATTATCTCCATGGCCCGGGCTATCTGTTCATTGGCTCTAGACATTGTCTACAAAAGCAACAACATCTTTAATATACAATATCTAAACCAAACAACAATTCAGCAATACAACAAAACACCACAACAATCAACACAGCAATCAACACATTAAGACATCGCAACTCAGAGTTCAACACCTTTTAGACGATGTAACCTACATTTCTTTCTCTCGTGAATTTTAACAAATATTTTTTTTAGGGGTCGTAACTTACACTTATAAAAAAAAAAAATAAACATTAACAAATAAAGAAAATAATCGGTATCCTTATTAAATAACCCCAAACGTGTGGTTCAGCGGTAAGGGTTGATCCACGCTTAAGTGTAACAACCTGACTGGTCACTACACACACACCACTGAACACCGGAAACACCAGATAGAAAGAGCGAGTATATAATTATAGGATCTAGAATATAAGTATATACAAAGTCCCAATCCGACTAGAGTTAGAGTGTGCTAAAAACATCCAACCAAAAACAAAATACATCGTCAACCGCTACACCTAGTAGCTAATACAACGAAACAGCAACTAAGTCAGCTTCGCCTGCCAGCCGCAGACTCACCACAGGCCACACACCTATCCCTGCTCTGCTCGTGTACATAGTACGATCACAGCAGTCCAGCCACAAGGAAACAACAAAGGGTAAGCTAGTATAACAAGAACAACGTATAGCAAGGTTTAAAAAAAACTCAGAAACAACTTCAACTATCAACACAACAACAGTCTACATCTCATCGGTTATACAACAAACCAGCCATTAGAAAATAATGCGTCGTCATGCACACCACCTCGGAGATCTCCTACAACAACTCAGCCGTTTTGGCCTACAACAACTCAACCCTTAAGGCCTACAACAACTCAGCCCTTAAGGCCTACAACAACTCAGCCCTTATGGCCTACAACAACTCAAATCAACATACAACACAACACAACTTTTACAACTCAACATATCAACTTGCAACACACTCAATTTTACAACTCGACATATCAACTTACAACACAACTCAACTTTACAACTCAACATCAATCAACCAACATTATCTACTAGTCATCAAATTATAATCATCCACTTCAACTCAACTTAGCATAGAACAACATAATTCAATACATAATAATATCTCATCTCCGCGCCCGACGCCCTCGTAGTTGCGCCCAGCGTAGTACAACCAAAGAGCCCCAGGGGCCAGCGCACTCAGCGCAAGCATGCTCGCGCCCGACGGGACTCAGCCAGAGAGCCCAAGGCTCTCTCGCGCCTGGCGCAATACCAATTGCACCCAGCGCAGGCCAGGCAGAGACTCTAAGGAGTATCACGCGCCCGGCGTACCTAACCCAGCGCCCAGCGCGGGGAAGGCAGAGACCTCCCCTTGGTCTCGCGTCCAGGTGCAATTTAAATTACGCCCAGCGCCCACAAGGCAGAGACTCCCAAGGAGTCTCACGCCCAGCGCGACAAGGGCCACGCTCAGCGCAGCCTCAAGAATCCAAAAGGATGTTGTAACGGGTATCGCGCCCAGCGCGGGCCAACCAGAGACCCACATTCTCAAGCACGCCCAGCGCACTCATCATTGCGCCCGGCGAGCTTGGCCAAATGGGGTCCCCTGGTGGCCACGCGCCCGGCGCGAAGAACTGTGCTCAGCGCGAAGCTCAGCAGCAACCTCACCAGTTTGAAAAACTTAACTAAATCCTGCGAAAACAACCAGCAATCCAACATGCAAACAATCCAAAAGCTTCCTCAATCCAACATGCAAACCATCCAAAAGCTTCCTCTTTCATCAAACATCAACAAAAACGTCTCATTTTCAACATGCAACCACATTTCATCATAAATCTCAAAATTTTATCAAAACTCCGAAACCCCCAAAAACCCCATTGTCAACAATCTTAGCCTGAAATTCAACAATCATCAACCAACAAATGAGTTCTGAACTCAATCACAGCCAAACACAGCGAAAATAACCAGCTTCCCTTACCTCGGGTGAAGAATCCGAGCTTCCGGGAAGAGAAACGAAAACAAAGAGGAAGAGAGTTGGAGAAGAAGATGAAGGAAGAGGTTCCGCACGGCACGGTTCTGAAAGATAATCACCTATTCAACACCTTGAATTCAAGCAATGAGAGTGAATCAGAAATGTGAGAAGAAGGAGTGAATGAGAAAGTTTTGAGAGTGAAAGAGAGTTGAGTGTTCGTGGAAGAAAAGGAAAAGAAAATCGGGTCTCACATTAAGCAAGGTCAGGGATTGGATTTAAAAAATATTTTTATTTTTACTTTTTATTTCTTACTTTCATTTTCAAAAAAAATAAGTTTTTTTTTTTTCAAACTTAAAATTTAGAAAATGTGTTTTGTTTAATTTTTTTCAATAAAAGTTCATAAAATATTTATGACATAAAATTTATAATATATATCTTCAATATTATTTAACTTTTTGTATTATTTATATATAATAAATATATAAATATAAATACTTAGAACAATAATTTTTAGTAGTTGCTTTGAATATTGTTCTTGTTTTTCAGTAACTAATTTATGTTTTAAAAAAAAAATTATTGTAACAGTACACTATATGTAATAACCACTAATAATGAAACCTAGTTTATCAAAATTATAAAAGCTTAACTAATAAATATATAAATATAAATATAATTATTATTATATCTTAACTTTTACAAATATATATATATATATATATATATATATAAATGATATTATTTATCTTTAAAATTAGCCATCAATTTTCGATTACAATAAATATTTAACATATTTTATACCTAGTATTTAATTTTAATAATCAAATAATATATTTTTTTCAATAATAATTAAATTAAATAATATATAACACATGAAATTAAAATTTTATAAAATAATTGTGTAAAATAAATTATAAAATACTTTTTTATTCTCATTAATTACATTCGAATATTAGTTCTCAATTGAATTGATGTATGCTATTTATAATATATAAGACATTTAGTAAATTTAATTATGTATGTAAAAACTCAATTAAGCTACGCGTAATATATGTTTTGTGTGTGTAATCTGTGTCAAATAAATTATAAAATACTTTTTATTCACATTAATTACACTAGAATATTAATTCTCAATTGAATTGATGTATCTAATATTTATAATATATAAGACATTTAGTAAATTTAATTATGTATATAAAACACTCGATTAAGTTACCTGTAATACATCGTGTGTGTTTATAAGGGTCTAAGATTTAAGGTTTCGGATTTATTTAAATAATGAGTAAAAAAGGATTAAAAAAAGAAGTTGTTTTAAGGCGGTTAAGAACCGATTTGAGAAGAAATAGCAAAAAAAGTTGACAAGGGAAAAAAGAATCCAATAATTTTTGTGATACCTATAACACCCTAAACACACCAAAATGAAAGGAATCTAAAGACACTAGTACAAAATGTACATTCTACGTCAGTTATTTTAGGGGTTTTATGTCGGAAAAACCTCTGACGTCGATGCGGGAGACATAAATTTACGTTGATTGTGATAGTCGACGTAAATTTACGTCGGACAAGGCAAGAACCGACGTAAAATTGTGATGACACAAATTTAATGCATATGGAACGGACTGTTCTGCAACCAGAACGGCCCGTTCTGCTTGCAATCATTGTGTGTTACTTATCCATTTGGAACGGGCCGTTCTGCACAATTAACACATAATGACTACAAGCAGAACGGGTCGTTCTGGTTGTAGAACGGCCCGTTCCAGATGTAAAATCAACAAAATAGCTAATGCAAGTCAAGATTTTTGAAACGAGAGGGTGTAGAAGAAACGAGAGGGTGCAGAAGAAAGTTAGGATCTTTACTCTCTTGTTTACAAATAGCGCGCGGGTGCAGAAGCCTTCATCAACGGGAAGAGAGAAGCAGTGAAATCCACTTTGTTTCTTTTTCATGCTGGTCAATTAAGCACCTTTGCCGCAATGTGAGCGTATATAGAAATCTTTTTTTTACGTCGAATATAATAGAGGTCCAACGTAAAATGTAAAATCTACGTCGGACACAAGATACATCCAACGTAGATTTTAAATTTTACATCGGACCCTATTAAGTCCGACGTAAAAAAGTTCACAAAAATTACAAAAATGCCACCGTATCTTTTTTACGTCGGTTTTTTATATGTCCGACAACAAAGAGGTGACGTAAAAGTCTGATTTTTCACTAGTGAGATTTGTTCAAGTGTGAGATTGTATAGCTTAAAATGGCTTAAAAAATTTAATTTGTACTACCTATATTAACAAGATGTATTTACTTTTTTGTAGCTTATCACATAAGAACTTCACAGTTAAACATGCTTGACTTAGAGTAATTTAGAAATAAGTGGCTTTTGGAAAGCTTCCTAAAAAGCGTGTCAGTGAGGATAAAAAATGCTGAAAAGTATTGTGTTAGTTTATGGGGACATTCCTTAATCCTAAAGGCGACCAAGTATCTCAAAAAAGGGTACCCATAGAGGGTTATAACTAGTAAAGAGTTCTGACCAATAATAAGTTATGTAAAATGTCACTATGTGAAGTGCCATATAGAATGAAACTGCTGAATTGTCAAATTTGAAGGGTGTTACAATACTACTATGTTTTCAATTGAAAATGAAGTTTTTATGCTTTCAAAATTGAGCTATTTTTTTAAAACATTTTCACATAAAACATTTTCTAAAATTAAAACTAAACACATTTTCAAGTTTATTTTCTCCTTTCTTTGAAAACGAAAACAAAAAATAGTGAAACCAAGCTGACCTTAACATCTCCAGTTATATTTTTGATATTTCCAAAACCAAAAATAATAATATGAAAAAGATAGGGTGGAGAAAAGAAAAATACTAAAAGAGGATGAATACTAGACTCAAAACTCAACACCTTTTCCAAATAAAAAAAGTTATTAAATAAGCCTATAAGAGTGTAAACAAAGTAAATCAAATAACATAAATATTTTATATTAATTTGTCTCAACTATCAAAATTGTGTCCAGTTCTTGATCAAATTTCACTATCATTCACAAATATAT